CATATATATATTTATTATATATCTATATATATATATATATATGTGTGTGTGTGTGAGTGGGTGGGTGTGGGTGTGGGTGTATGGTTAGGCCGCTTCTTCTTTTTTTGATTTCATGTGTATATGTGCTTGTAGAGCCCCTCGTTTTGTGTTGAGTGGCATGTTGGTAGTCGATATGTGATGTCTCAAATACGAAAGGCAGCACTGGCGTAAGGTACATTTTAGTGAATAGGTCGAACAGCTTTTATTATTGGGAAACACGCTTGCTTGGAATTCAGCGAGTGCAGTCGCATATACTGATTACATCTCAATGCACACATGTACACACACTCTCTCTCTCTCTGTCTCTCTCTCTATATATATATATATATATATATATATATATATATATATATATATAGATATATATATACTCATTATATAAACAACATACATACTCAATTATCTGCTTGCATATACGCACACACATACACACGCATGGCATGCAGCTATCTAATGTTCCTCGCAGTCGCACCTACTGACCAGATTTTGGCCCTCTCATATACACAAGAATAAGTCACACTTTAAATACAACCGCACACACAAACAACCGTACAATGAGCACACATGTATCAATACCATATGCACACACACTTACACATTACACTATTTATAGCCATACATGCGCACATAGATACAATGCAAACACACACAGTACTGTGATATATACACATGTGCTGCACATACAGCTATCACAGGCCTTCTTCGTTACAGGTATGGTATCGGGAAAGGGTGTGTATTCGATGGAGGGAGCGGTCCTGGTCCTGGCACGCACACGCATACATAGCAGAGTCACACACATACAGACACTCACACGTACTTGAATATATACAATTGCACATACATGCATATATACTATTTGCACACACAGAACAATACTTGAATATGCCACACAGCTGTCAGAGGCGCCCCTCGGTACGGGTATAGTGGTGGTGGAGAGTGTGTACTCAATGGATGGATCCATGGCTCCGCTCAGTGCTGTCTGCGATGTGGTTGATGAGTTCAAGGGCAATCTCATAGTGGACGAGGCACACACGCTAGGTGTGCTATGTGTGTGTCTCTCTCTATGTGTGTGTGTGCGTGTGTGTGTGTATGTGTGTGTGTGCTGTGTATGTCTATGTATGTGTGTCTGTGCGTGCGTGTGTGTGTATGTGTGTCTCTGTGTGTGTGTATGTATGTGTGTCGGTGTCTGTGTCTGTGTGTGTGTGTGTGTGTATTGTGTATGTGTATGTATGAGTGTGTATGTTTGTGTCTGTGTCTGTGTCTGTGTGTGTGCGCTGTGTATGTGTATGTGTGCGTGTTTGTGTGTGAGTGTGTGTGTGAGTGTGTGTGCCTACTTGAGGCATATGCGTGCTAATACTGTACACGTGATGTGCATGTACGTGCGTGGGGTATATGGAGATACACGTTGTGTGTTGTTATGTGTATGTATGCTTTTAAAACCCCTAATGCGCTTTGCGTGCATGTGCATACTGATGAGATATGTGGAGTTAAAACAGGTAATATTTCATGGATGCGATTCAACATTTGATATGTAAATCTGATAAAAAAACTTAGATTTTACGCAGTGATAGTAGAAATTTCTTTGTAAATGTAATACAAGCGCCGTTAAACGCAGCATACACACGAGATATAACTAATGCAAATCTGATAAAACAGAACACATTTGATTGGTTGAATGAACGACCTGCTATGTTTTGCTACATGGTTAATTAAATACAATACCTCTAATGTTTCAATTGTTAGGTTTATATGGAGACACTGGTGTCGGCCTTGTCGATTCGTTGAATTTGCGACACCGTGTGTTCGCGACAGTCCATCCCTTCGGAAAGGTGTAAAATTGGAATATATTTTGAGGGGTGATATGTAAACCACATCATATTCATTTCTGTATGCATACAAATAGCATATTCTCATCTATGAAGTGTGATGCATTTATACAGCCACCTTGAGTACATTTCTTTATGTACACATATAGCGTAACATGTACACACTTATTAAGTGTGATAAATGTATATATATTTAAACATATTCTATATACATGTCTGTATGTTCACAAATGGCACATGAGCATCTACCGTTTGGTGCCTATCTCAGTTTTGGTATTCACACCGGGGATTCGGCGTTTACGAGCGATCACTTAAGTCACAATTACATTTTCTTCATATGAATATGCATGACACATATATACACACATGAATGACTACATGGACAAGAACATAAAAACACATCTAGATGCACACATGAACAGAGTCTCTTTTTTCAAATAGTGTTGATCTCGGAGTATCCATACGTAATCGGTGAGGCTACGATCGATAGATCTTAAAAGTATATATATATATATATATATATATATATATCATTCATCCGTGTTGATAGTGACTATTGATAGAATAGGTGCACAATTGCGCGTACTCCGTCAACATCGTCATTGTTAAGTCATGCAAAAACCATCAGCTTTTCAAAATGCTAGTACTGCAACTCTATTTGATGTCGTAAAATAACATGGCATGTATATATATATATGTGTGTGTGTGTGTATGTATGTATCTGATCCAATCCGCACTCTTACTTCACGATCCCAGGCACTCGGATTTCATGGAGCCGTGATAGTCGGGAGCAATCTATTAATGGAATACCTACACAATTACTCGCGCTCCTTCATCTATACCACGGCATTGCCGAACACTTCACTCGTAGCAATCCGTCTGTTATGGGACGAGATGATTACCGCCAAACCCCAACGACAGAAAGTAGCCGGTAAGTGTGCTTCTCTGTTACACATCAAGTGTAATCTTGTATGCTGGATGCTACGCACGTACAGGAATT